CCCATGCCCCTTGGGCGTCTTGTTGCCCCATAGCGACCCCTCTCCTTAGTCTTTCCTCGCGCCTTGTGCGTGCCGATTTCTTTGGCCGTGGACCCATGCCCCTTGGGCGTCTTGTTGCCCCATAGCGACCCCTCTCCTTAGTCTTTCCTCGCGCCTTGTGCGTGCCGATTTCTTTGGCCGTGGACCNACCCATGCCCCTTGGGCGTCTTGTTGCCCCATAGCGACCCCTCTCCTTAGTCTTTCCTCGCGCCTTGTGCGTGCCGATTTCTTTGGCCGTGGACCTTCGCTCCGAGGCTCCCATAGGTGGCCCCCACGTTGGCCTTTCATTTTCCGGCTTCCCGCGGCTTCTGGCCGGCCATCCCTCAACTTCCTCATTCCTTCATTGTTGTCGCGCTGCAATCGCTAGCTCAAAAGGCCCCTTGGCCTTAGTCTTATTGCCTTCCGATGGCCCTCCCGGCCTCCCGCTATGTTCTATGTGCCCCTGTTCTTGCGCTCGCTTGCTTGTCGCCGCTTAGTTCTTTCCCCCTGTGGTTCTCGTCCCAGGGCATTACTCCCTCCTGCGGCCTAATCCTTTATCTCGTCTCACTCTGGATTTCTCTGTTGTGCACAGTTCGTCCATATTCGATCTCTCGAGTGATGAGAAGTTATTCGGGACTCACCAGTCCCGACACATTCCCCCCACTCTTTCGCGATGTCCTCATCGCGCACCTATCTCTTGTTAGTGAGTTTTGGAGGGATAGATGAGGGAGGAAGATGGGATGTTACGGATGGATAGTTTGTCAGGGTCCGTTTTGTTATTTTCCTATTTTTTTTCTTCAAAAATTTCCTTAGCTTCCGCCCCTTGGGGTGGAGGAGGGTATGGGGGAGTCGAAGGTTCTACAGCTTAGACCAGGTTGCTTATTTCCGTCATAGCTCTGTCTCTTTATCTTTCCCTCAATTGAGATGCAAACTTCCTTTTCGGTCAATTTTGTATACGCAGCAGGGCAGCCCATAGTTCTTTCAACTTCAGTAACATGAAGCAGACGAGGCTATCATTGCTTTATGCTCTTAACTACTGGTATGCTGGCTTTATTCCCAGGGTGACAATTTGTTGTCACAACACAATTGGTTTTCTCATTTTATGCCTTGACTTTGTTAATAACAAATTGTAGGCAAGTTTTCGGATGCGATTCAATGTCAGGCATTTGCTCTGGAAGGGGGATGTTCGTCCAGTACAACTGTCGCCTTTGCTGTGGTGATACCCATTTCGACTTAGTGAGCCCAGGCACAACTCCCCTTAAGTGCTTCGTATTCTCAAATCTATCTTCCCATTTCATTGAGAAACCATTCTCGAGCAGAAACCATTTTGGTTTCGCCTCATTCATTTATTCTTAGAGTCATATAAAAAAAAAACATCTACTTTTCGGTCCGTGCAATCCATGTTCTCCCGTCATTCTTTCCTTAGTCTCATGCTTAGCCAGTTCCCATGTATTTTTCCCATTTCATTTTGCCCAGCTTATGTGTGTCATCCTCATTCGTCCTTTCTCTTATCCAGGCTTTAGAATGCGCGTTACTCAGTCCTCTTATTCACATCTTTCTTCTGGCCTCTTGCCAGACCTTTTCTCAAGCACATGCTAGGTCAAATACTCATTCATTTCTGTCCTGGACATCTTGTCAGGTCTCTTCTCAAGCTCATGCGAAGTCATTCACACATCTTTTCCTCAACTGAACACCTTGCCAGACCTTTTCTCAAGCTCATGCAACGTCAATTTCTCACCCGTTTCTCTTCTGGACATCTTGCCAGGCCTCTTCTCAAGCTCATGCAATGTCGATTACTCATCCATTCTTTTCTTCTTGACATCTTGCCAGGCCTTTTCTCAAGCCTGCGCAAAGTCAATTACTCATTCATTCTTACGCTCATGATATCCTTCTCTTTTGCATGTTTTTTCTTTGGTAGATGGTATACCTTCCCCCCACTCAAAATGCGATGTCCCCATCGCACGACTGGTTCTCACTCGGAGGTACGCAGACCTTGGCCCCACCAACGAGTAGGCGGATGTCGGCCCATCAGCCCCAAAAAGGAAGGGTGATCAGTCCTCCCCCTGCTGATAACTCACCTCATCCCCTACTCCGTCCCACCTTTTGCTGCTTACGAGACGGGCGTCATCATTGAGGTACCTCCTCATATCTGGCAGGTAGGTCCAGTCCAAAACCTCCCAGGATCCCGTCTTGCCGCAAGGGCTTTCTCGCGAATCGTTCCTCCCAAGTGGTGTTTTCTTGGATCCGGCCTCTTCCTTTCAAGAGAGTTGGGGCTCTCTATTAGTCTGCGAGTGCAGTTACGAAGACCTCGCGGTTAGTCCCGAAACGGTTGTAATGATCCAGCAGGGCGATGTCACTCGCCCTGTGGTGGTTGCGGCTTCCACCCGATACTCCGTCCGTTTCCTCCCTCTGGACAGTGCTGCTCAACTTAACGCGAGCAGTCGTGGTCCATTCTAAACGGTTGTGTTGCCCCTCTACGGCATGGCATGTGGTTGGGGAGAAAAAATGAGACTTAGGAAAAAGAATGGCTCTCTCGTCCGTTTGGCACCACGCCCTTAACGTTTAGGTTTCAACATGAGGCGCAATTTGAACTCCCCGACTAGAGCTCGTTGTTGAGGTTGGTTCCGGACGACCAGCATCAATCAAAGAGAGAGGTGCTTTGGTCCTTCAACCCTTATTCCTTCTTATGAGGAGCAGGTCGCGCTGAGACTTTTCCCTTAATGGGTAGAGGTCTTGGGGTCGCGATGCAGGCATTGCTATCCCCCTTATGTTGAGACCTGAGACTAGAAAAAAAAAGAAAGCTCTATCTCTTGCTATTTCCATGGTCGGCCCGACGACCTTACATCAAATTGCCTAGGGTCCCCTGGCTATGCATTGCAATATCCAATCTTCAAACACTCAATCCCATGCTATTTCCAAGGCTGGTTCTCATGGCTGGTCCGACAGCCTCTCATCAACAAGGCCATCCACATGGCCGGTCTGGCGGTCATTTTCTCAATAGCGATTTCTCGGACTGACCCTTCCGCCCATTCAATCCTCAATTCTCTCATTCCTCAATACCCAATCTCTGTGACCGTCCCAACGGTCCCTGCCCTCCTTGACTTTAAGGCTCGGCCTACTTTATCCTTCCCTTCTCATTCATATCTTTCTTCCGCCCCCTTGGCTATTTCAGCGGCCGACCCACCGGCCTTTTCCATCTCTTCCATTCATTCCATTGGCTATTTCAATGACCAACCCATCGACCTTTTCCATCTCTTTCATCCATCCCTTGGCTATTTCAATGACCGACCCATTGGCCTTTCCATCTCTTTCGCTCATTCCAGCACATTCTCAATCATCCTTTCTCAATCAAATATGTAGGGGACCCCAGTGCCTTTTTCAAAAGGAATGACCCTTGTCAGGGGCCATTCCCGAACAACCTGGTTAGGGTCGTTCTTTTCCATTCTCAAGTCGAACAGCCTGATTAGGGCCATTCCTTTCCATTCTCAAGTCGAACAACCTGGTTAGGGTCATTCCTTTCCATTCTCAAGTTGAACAGCCTGGTTAGGGTCATTCCTTTCCATTCTCAATGTTAATGCCCAAGGGGGTGGGCCTCGAGGTTACGGATCTCATTTCTATCTTGGAGGTTAGAAGGTGGCCATCTCATCTTTTGCGTGTTGTTCTCTTTCTCCCATTTCTCACAGTAATGTACCATCCATTTCATTTCTCACAGTAATGTACCATCCATTCCATTTCTCACAGTAGTGTACCATCCATGCATACATCCGACTTAGCATCTAGCACTCGAGTTGGGGCTCGCGACCCCAAGCAGCACTAGCTCACCCGGCCGTTCAACCATAGCAAGAGACATGGGCGCCCCGTTTTTTCTTCACTCGTTCCGACTACTCAGATTTTGACCATTCTCAGACTAATTCACGACTTGGTTGGATTAGGCTCCTAGGGAAGGAGTATTCTTCATGCCCCTTAACCCATAGGTTCCCTAACCTCTCCTGTACACGACCAATCATTCAATGCCATGGTTTGTTCGTCAATCCGTAGTCAAGGTTTTCCCCTCCCAAAAGCATAATCCTTATTCCATCCAGAATTCACAATACACCCTTTCCCAATTGGTCTCATCCCAAATCCCATGTTTTTGTTTTATGTGCCCAAGGTAGCTCATCCAAAAAAAAGTACCCTAAAAAACTATCTTCTATCTTATCATGACGCAGCCTTGGCTGACCCTCTTTTCACTTCATCCTTAGCAAGCTTGCCCATACTGTACACGTTCTCGTCATTCTCATGTTTCCGCAAACAGAAAAGCATCGATCTTTTTCAATGCTAAGCCAACACCTAGTTCCTATTGCTACCTTGCGCCTCGTCTTGCCCAGTTCCTAGTCCACCCTGTTCCTCGGCAGGCTTCCTAACCCCCAGGCCGTAGGTCTCGATTTCTCTCTTCTTTCTTGCAATTCCCTGTAGCTCAATTTCACTGAAGAAGTCCAGCGGCGTAGCTTCCACTCCCGCCTTTGCCAGTTTCCGGGTCTCGATAATCCATTCGTGCCTGATCACATTGGTCTATTGCTGAAACCAATGACTGGGTGTCGTTCCAAACTCGTCCTCCCGTCCGAAAGCCCCGTCGCCCGGCTGGTGCATCGGAGGCCGCCCTTCTTCCCTAGGCCTTGAGATCTCATACTTCTCATCCCCGCTGCTGATTTCTATGACTTCTCGTACATCCTCCTCCTCGTCCTCCTCGTCTTCTGGCTGTATGGGGCTATACCCACCTGCAAGGTTCTTTGGATCGTAGATAAAAGGAATCTCTGTCCCCATCCCATACCCCTCACAACTGTCAAGGCCGCTTCGTTCTTCAAGCGGGCTTTCCCTTCTCTCCTCACTCTCCTCATGTTCGTTGCGCATGTCTTGTCCCCCCTCGCTTTCCCCATACCAAATCTCACGTCGCTTGCCCCTGTTGGCTCCGTCCTCATCAGAAACCTGAACCCCATCTCCCATAACTGCATTGCCTCCTTCTTCCACTTCTGCCTTTTTCTTCCCTGTCTCACTGTCAGACGAGATTTCTATGCCTTCTCCCTCGCGGAGGGGTGAGGGTTTCTTACACAAGCATTTCCTTCCACCCCTGCCTACCATTGGTCCACCCATGAGTCCTATATACAACTTTCTCTTTGTCGCCCTCCTCCCTTGGCTTGGTCCTGCTTCCTCTCCTCCGGTAGGCCTGTTGATTGCTCCGCTGTCATTTTCGTCACCGAACTCCATCTTCTCTTTTCTTTTAAACCCTGTATAACAAAACAACACCCGCAAAGCCCCTCATGCACCCGTTCCCCCAGTCCGGTAGGTAGTCCCCCCCCTTTTTCCCAGAATGCTCCCAACATCCTTCACAACATGTCCCTATTACACATGCGAATGCGCCGTTTGTGATGACCCCATTTTTTTCCCGTAAAAAACTATGGTACAATGCCCCAAACATCCCCTCCCGTCGTCACACAAGCCAGATATTGCAAACCCCCAAGTCATGCTGCCTTTCAACCACAGTCAGTCCAAGCCAAGAGCGCCAGTCCCCAAAAAAATGACAGTCCCATGAACAAGGTCAAAGACAAACCATAGTGTGGGCAAGGCTGTGGTCAGTCTTTAGCTTGTGGCCCCTCAGTTTCCTTATCTTCGGCCTCCTGAAGCCATTGTTCCACTGGGTTCCGACTTAGAAACCTGACCAATTGCTGCCCAAGAAGGGCCCTTTCAATACAGTTCCATCCAAATCTTTCAGTTCGAAGGTGTTCAGTCCCACCCGCTTGGCGACCCGATAGGGGCCTTTGAACCTTCTCCCTAGCTGTCCCGACCAAGTACTTTCTAGTGCCGAGTTCCTTAGCAATACCATCTCTCCCACTTGAAGTGACTCCTTTCTGACATTCTTAACCTGGTCCCACCTTGCTTTGTCCCTCATTCTGCTGTCTAGTACGCGGTTGGCGATGTCTTCCATGACCTCCTCGTTCTTAAGGATCTGTTGACATCTTGCCTCGATTAACTCTTCAGTAGTCATTTGCGGATCATCATCAAACCTATTCCAGGTAGGCACCAAGGCTTCCACAGGAAAGTCGATCTCTCTTCCGTACCAAAGTTCCGCGGGGATACATCCTGTTGTCCTTTTAGGAGTCATATTCTCCGCGAAGACGGCCTGCTTAAGATACCTAGGCCAGTTCCCCAGATGGTCCGCTGCGAGTTTTGCAATCGTGTTCTTTAAGGTTCGATGCCCCCTTTCCACAGGTACATCGGCCTCAGGGTGATACGGCTCGATGAGTTTGATTGGTACGCAGAGTCTCTTAAGCATCCCCAATACTTCTTGGTTCACAAACTCCGTCCCATTGTCTGCTATGAACCTCCTGACGAACGGATGTCTCAAGTAGAAATCTTCTATCCAGTCCGCCACACTCCTCCCTGTCTTTTTCTTGAGGGCGACCGCCTCCACGAACCCACTCAAGTTGTCTCGGGCATCCAGGATATATGTGTACCCATCCGTTGATACAGGCATGACCGCAAGGTCGAGGTGGACCAGATGTCCCGGCCCTAGCACCCGTGTTGGTCTAAGCGGCTCGAAGACCCGCACCGAGCTTCGTTCTTGGCAAATAAGGCAAGTCTGGCAGTATATGGAAACCATGCCTGCCATGCCTGGCCAATAATAGAGTAACGCTATCTTTGCAAGCGTTCCTTTGGACGACCGATGACCTCCAGCCAACCCATCGTGCATTGCCTGGATAACGTCTATTTGCCTAGATCTTCCGCACACAACCCTTCTGGGCATAGCACCTTCCTCCCTTCGGAACAAATGCCCGCCCCTTAGGACGTACCTTTCGGCTTCTTCTCTTGCTTTAATACTGACTTCCGTAGGTTGTTTGTTTCCTACCAACAACAGTCCGATCTCCCGAAAGAGCCCTTCGTATGATTGGACATAGAAAAACTTCCCCCCTTCCTAGCCCCCATCCTTTCCTTCCTGCATCTGATTTACCACCCATTGCAACTCCTTCCTTTCCCAAGATTCTACTAAGCTCATTACTGTTTCCCGGCCTCCCTCGACCGCCATTGCTATCAGTTCCTCTTTTGGCCCCACTATCGCTCCCCATGAGTCATTTGCCTCGCTGCGTCCTTAAGTGGTGACTGATCCTTCTCTAAGTTCAGCTACTACGGTAGGTGCCCCCTTCTCCAAAGTCTGGATCAATAGCTCTCCCGATGTGCATCCTTCGTTCATCATTTCGTTATCCACCGCAAGAGTTCCTCCTTCGTATTTGAGGAACGCGTCTATGGGCTCCGCATCCTTCACCCCATCGGGAGTGATGCAGACCCGGCTCAGCCCATCAGCCTTGTTCCTAATTCCCGCAATCCGTTCGATCTTATAATCGAACTGCCAGATAAATCCTACCCATCTTTCCACCGTCGGATCTATAGGCCTGTAATTCTTTAAGGCCCCTGCAACATTCGTCGGATCGATCCTGAGGATGAACCGCCTCCCAAATAGGTAGGCCTGAAAGGTCTTAAGGCAGTGCAAGATGGCTAGGACCTCCTTCTTGAATTGTGAGTACCGCCGCTCTGCGGAGTTCAGGGTTCTACTTTCAAACCTAATTGGCCTCTCTTTTCCTCCCTCATCCCTTTGAATCAACACACCTCCTACGGCCAAAGGTCCTCCATCCGTCTCTAGGATGAAGGGTCGCCCTACTTCGTCATTAAAACAAGGCGCGGACAGGGCGACTGTCTCAGACGTCAATATGTCCTTGAGCTTTTGGACAACTCCTTCTCGCTCCTCCGTCCAATCCATGGTTCCTTCTTCCCTGATCATAGCTCGGATAGGCTCAGCAATCTTGGCAAAGTTCTTAATGAAGATCCTCCAAAAGCTGACTACGCCTAGGAATGCCCTTACCTCCGTCGTCGTGCGCAGGGGGGTTGGCCACTGCGATATCTTGTCCGTTTTTGCCGGATCCGGCTTCCTACCGTAAGCACCGCAGCGAAATTCTAGTATGGTTACTTCTGGTACTGCTAGAATTCTCTTTGGTCCACTAACCGTGATGTTGTATACTAGGAACCAGCGGACCAAGTCCTTTATGTCTTGTAGATGGTCCATACAAACTTTCGAATTCCTGGTTGGACTTCTATCTCGTCCTTCACCTACGCACCTTTAATCGGATTATCGTCGATATAGGGCTCACACCTTTCTGGAAACATGTCCCCGGCCACGACGAGCATTCTGCGTTGCGCTTCGGCCACCGCGTTTGTGAATCCCATAGGAGTCACTTGCATCTGTAGCTGGCCGTAGGGGGTGTGCATAGCGGTGTACGGTCTGTCCCGAACATCCAACGGAAGCTGGTCGTACCCTGAGTATAGATCTATCAGGGAGTAAATACTCCGGCCGGCGTGCGACTCTGCTAATAAGTCAGCCTGAGGTAGCGAGCCAGCATCCCGGATGGTTACCGCATTCAACTTCTGCAGATCCTGGATCCACCTCAGTGTCTTGTTAGGCTTTCGAAAGACGAACCACCGGTTTGCGTATGACAACGCCCTAGGCTCCGCAACGAAGAAGTTCATCTTTGCTCGGAGGAGGTCCGTCACTTCCCCTGCTATCCCAAATTCATAGGACGGCCCCTTGTCATTCCAGCACTCATGTTCTACCGTGTGGATTCTCACCGGAGGGATTAGCTTCGCATCCAGTCGTCCCTTCTGGTGATCACTAAAGGCAAATGCCAGGTGAAACTCCTGGCAGGTCCTTTTGATCAGGCGGTTTTCCTCTTCCGTTAAGAACCCGTCTATCCCTATCTTCATTGTGTCAGCTACCTCATCTGGTATCCGATGTCCCTCCGTCGCCCTTCTTTCTTGGATTACTCGAAGGACCTCTTCCTCCTTCTCCATAGCCTCTTCCTTTGATGTCTCTAGCAGGATCGAGACTGGTCTTGCTTTCTTCCCTACCAGCTTGTACTTTCGAACGCTTCCTTCCGGGATCTTTCTCCTAAAAAATGAACAGTCGGAATCGCCCTCGTTGCCTCTACGACTCGTGGTTGAATACTAACTAGTTTCCCATTCAAGCAATATCCCTTTTGCACCTCTCCTTCGAACTTGGCCAAGGCCGCTGAGTCCACTCCTACCTTGTGGTATCTGAGAGCCTTGATGAGTTGCAACAGATCGGGGATCTCAAGTGCAACTTCTGGCACGACTATGCGTACTTCTTTACGTTTGGGCAGGCTAGCACCAAGCTCGACCTCTGACTCCTTTTCTGCTACCATAACCCCTAAGACTTCGTCCTCCTGCCTCCTCTTCTTCTGGGGCAGGCCCATCTTGATCCACTCCCTCTTGTTGAATGCCTCCTCAATCATGATTTCTACCCTTTCTCTCATGCCCTCCATCCGTGCGAAAGCCCCTTTCCGCGTGCTATCCTCGAGCGATGGCGACCATGTTGCCAACTTCCCCTTCGGGGGGTCTCCTCCCGTTCCAAGGAGTCGGAGGAGCTTTCCCCGGCCAGTCACTGGGTCCTCTATGTCTACCATGTATGAGCCATCGTGCAAGTGCATGCCTATCATCTCTACGTTAGCGCACCATGGTCTCCCAAGGATTATGTCGTGGTCCATTTCCTCCATTACGGTCATCCGCTGAAACGACCAGATCGATTCCCTGACTCCTGCCTTTACAGCAGACTTCGTGACGTACCCAGCGAACGAGATTTCCCCGCCAGCTCCCCGGATGCTCCCTGTTACTTCCTTGTTTACCGTACAGTCCGTGATCATTGCGAAATCTTTTCTTATAAGAGTGATTTCTGCTCCCCCGTCTACTAACGCGTCGGTATGACGAGTCCCGATCTGGATTTTCAGCTTCCTTACGGGCAGTGCATGAAAACTAAGCTTTGTCCCGGGTGGTGACCTCATGACCTCGCCGCCCTCTCGGTCGGGCAAGCTCAAGCGAATGTCCGCAAAAGCTTTCTCGAGATCCTCCAAATCCCCGTGACTTTTCTGAAGGTTAGCCACTTCTTGCGGAGCTTCCTCCTCCCTCTCCCCTTCTGGTAATTCGGGGTTGTCGCCTATTTCTACTCGCCGCCGAGTCAACAGTTGTGTAAGCCCTTTGAGCAACCTAGGGCTAGCCTGCAGCATGGTTTGAAAAGATACCGACACCATGGTTCCTAGTAACTTGCTAATGGTGTCGTCGATCTCAGGCAAGGATAAGATCGGGATTTGGTACCTAAACTTCTTCTTGGTCGCGGTAACTTTGTCTGTAGGCTCCTTTTCCCTAGGTTTCTCATAGACCTTTTCCGGTTCCTCGGCCTCAGGCTCTGCCTGGGGTTCTGAATTTTCAGCAACCTCCTCCATCACGGTGTCACGGTTAATCCTTCTCCCAGCCGTTCCTAGTCGAGTGGTGGCGTTCACCCTATCACGTCCGTCGTTTTCCAAAATAAAGTTGACCTGCGGCCCGCGCCCCCGGGGTTGATCCCAGATGATTTCGCCCACCGGCTCGGCTTCTACGACCGTTATCTCTAACCCGTTGAGCATGATAATGGCTCGCCGCATTCCTCCTGGCGAGTTCCAGTTTACCCGTTCCCCTTGTGGTCCAAATATCTCCCCCTTTAACGACCTGGTACACCTTCTTTTCAGAATATCATGGTTGAGCTTTGGGCACGCGCGCACATAATGTCCCATCGCGGTACCGTACTTGCATTGCTCGTTAGCAGGATCTCTCCGTCCGAGTCCCCGGTTGGCTACACCTAGCGGAACCACAACTTTCTGGGGAGGGAGAGCGGGTCTAGACACTTGCGCCTGCATAACTAGTAGCGCGCCCTCCATCCTTTCAATTTTATTGTCGACCCCGTGCATCCGCTCATGTAGGCTTTCAATCCCCTTTTTAACCTTGTCACCCGCTCTACCGGTCAGATCTATGACCTCACCTTCCTTAAGCAAAGCCAACGTCTCGGTCACTACCGTCTTTCCGGCCAGATCCGTTACCGTACTGAAATCAACATCCCTAGTGTTTACAAATTTGCTCGTCTGTTGGTAAGACGACAGGATCTTGTCCTTGTCGAACTCGGAGAATTGTCTGAGGAAGTACTTACTCATTATTCGGTCCGTAACCCCGAGGATTCTTAGTGCTACCAAAGTAAACTCCCGTAGGAAGTCATTGTACGTCGTGAAGTTCTTCCTCTGGACTGCCGCTAAATCGGCCTCCGTTGCCATCTTCTCTGCTGCGAGATACTTTCTCATCATCACATCCCAGGTTTCTTTCCAAGACCGGCTCGCGGCCACGATGACCATTATGTCCCGTCCTAGGCTCAAAGACACATGCTGCCCCAGGTGGTCTATCTTCTCCTCTTCGGTCCATTTCAACAGTGCAGCCAGATTCTCGTAATCTATCAGGAATTGCGTGATGTTTGCCCCATCAAACGTCAACTTTTTCTTAGCATCCGCTAGGTAGCCTTGAATTTTGTTCAGTGCTCGCGCGAGGGACGACACTATCTTCTTAAGGTCGCCCTCGGAGCTGCTGGCTTCGCCTGCCATACTGTTATCCGGACCTTCCTTGCCGGCCTTCTGTCCCTCCCTGGTTTTCGTAGTTCCTTCTGGGTCAAACCATCCCAACACTCTTTCCCTAAGGCTCCAGAGTCCTTCGCACCCTCGCGTTACTGCTGGCGCGGTCGGCAAACGGCTAGCCCTACTATCTATGGCTGGCGGGGTCGTAGCCTTTTCCGCTTCCATCCCCGAAGAGTTCTCTCTCTCTTTCCTTCTTTTGCTCGGCGTTCCCCCACGGTCACTACCTTTATCCTCTTGTCCAGTCCCACCTCGGCTGGTTTTCCGTTCGTCCTGGGGTTCCTCCTGCAGGGGGCCTTCTTGGTTCCCAGTCATCATTTCCTCGATCAATCTTGCCTTGTACTCCGCGGTCCTTTTGTCTATCTCGGCTAGTTTGCGCCTCGTATCCGTGACCCTTACTTTCTTAGACACTGCCCCTTCCGAGTTTCGGGGGCTTGCCCTGTCCTTATTTCTGCCCTCCTTGGTCTCCTGAGTCCCTTGTCTGCTTCCCCCGGCTTTCCCCGAACTTTCCCCTGAGGAGATCTCCTTCCGGTTCCCTTTGGTACCATCCGGATTTATCGATTCTCTGTCCTTCTGCCCCTGTTCGCCTTGTACGGCACTGCCTCCTAAGCCTGGTCCTCCTTCACTCTTACGGTTATCTGCCTCTTCCTCCGTTGCCATACTTGCCTACTTCTGCATAACACCAGAACAAACGCAGTACGAGGCATTTAGGCTCCCTAGGTTCCAATCCTGTTGGTTTATCCCTTTTACTTGGTAATTACGCTTTTTCCCATTCCCATTTCCTGATGGCTTCCTTAATATGGAGCCACGTCCGGCTCTGCTGCCTCACTGAGCTAAGTGCGTGGCTTGGCTGCCCTTATCACCGACTTGCTTAGAGTGTCCTTATTTTGTTGGTCGGTGCGTAGGGGTTCGGATTGGGCAACCTGCTAGGGAAAGTTTTCCTGCGCAGTGTTCCCTGTCTGGCGGTTATTGATCATCCGGGTCCGAGGCCCCCCTTTTCCTATCTCTGTTGGTGAGCCTTCGAACGTAGCGGACTGTACTTGATCTGCTCTACAGGCTCGCCTGCGGGTGCTAGTCTCGTTCCCGCCCTCGCGGCCCTTCCGGTTCGGTAGGTTCCTCAAATAGTTCAGCCACCCTTGCTAAATAACTCTCTCCTATCTTGATTTCTCTTTCGATTATGCGTTCAAATCCCGCCTAGTCTAGTCGTGGCGCCCTAAACATCAAGATGTGGATGACTTCCAGTAACTCATGGGCCCTGTTTCCCCAGAACGGCCCATGTTCCACAGCGATATCGTAGAACATCCCAATGGTAGGGGAGGGAAAGTGGCCTGCCCAGACTATCGCTGAGTCGGCTAGCTCCCGCGCCCTTGCGAGGCTTCCGAAAACGAGGTCTATCATAAAACGGGGCACTCGGCATCTCAGCGGTGTGGTCGGTGCCCTGAACTCCCTCCAGCCTCCCATTTCCACCCGGGTAAGTAATCCCACGTTCCTTCTACCCCTAACTGATTTCCCTATCCGGGTCAACGTTCGGGCGGCCCTTCGAAAGATTGGAGCCAGCTCATGACCTTGTGCTATCTCTACCCCCAACGAGTGTCAGCCGATCTCAGGCAGATACATGGTCCTGGTAACTTCCAAGTTGGAATACAGATCGTCCCCGGATCCTCGATTAAGTCTCATCCCTGTCCACCGACATTCTACCAACATGAAGGTGGCATCCCGTCCCGAAGTCCCGGCCCACCATTCTATGTCGAATCCCCGATAGGTAGAACTCGACGGGAGGGATACTTCCCATCGTCCACCGTTATTCCAGGGCGGTCCGGGGTACCAGGGCTGGCGTTCCATTCGCACACAGGGTTAACGTTCCATTCGCTCACGTCTTGCTGCCATCGTTGCCTTGGTGATTCCCTGCATAGTCCACATAGAAAGGGTTACAGCCAATCCCCAGAAACCGCCCACCTACTGCCTTCCTTGTCCTTCGTGTTTTCATTCCTCTTTTCTAGTCCAACTATCCCTCCATACCCCTGGGAGCAGTAGCCTCCTCTGGCAGCTCGTACAGCCGGTAGAGATCATCTATGTAGGTCACACCCCGGCCTACCTCCTGCCGGATGACTCTCCACATGGTCTCATCGCTTATTTGTGGGACTCCCGGCCTAGTATTTACTACTGCTCGTAGAATGCAAAGCACCTCGTGCCCCTGTTCATCCCCAAAAGGCCCCATCTCTAGGAAGGCCCGATAGTATTCTTGATACATTAATGCTTCGTCAAGATTTAGCCTAGTTACGACAGTCATTGCCTGCTCCACTCGTTCTATGCCTCCCATTAGCCTTAGCAGGAAGGGCGGTAGACTCATCCGTACGACCTCGCTGGGCAGCTCAAAGGTCCCTGCCGCTGCAACTCTTACATCGGCCGTCACGTCGTCTCGCTCTGGGACTGCGAACTCAAACCCTTCTCGCCAAGTTATTTGCCATGCTCCTTCAAACATTCGTACGGGGTCATCCCTGGAAGCCAAGGCAATCCCAAAGGTCTGCCACCCTTCTTCTGACAAGTGTAAGGATCTCGTCGCATGCACTCGCCCTGGGAGGCCCAAATTTACGCCCCCGAACTCCCCTCTCGCACGCCATTCCAGCTCCACTACTAGGTACACCGTGTCCTCCACCAATTCTACCCCCACCCAGTCCATTACCGGATTGCTTACCGCATTTCTTGCCGGCAGGCTTATTTCGACCGTCTTCTGACACCCTTGGTGACAGGATCCCGTGAGACCTATCCCCCGAGAAAGTCATTCGCCGGGCCATCTTGAAACGCCTCCTCTCTTGCTTCCTTAGTCCGATTGCTGCACCCACCGAGATTCCATGCCTTTCATATTTTAGTCTTTCAGCCCTTCCCTACTTATCGTACACTAGTTCTTGCTGCTATCCATGACCCATACACGTACAATTCTACCCCCCTTTTTCCGGTTGCTGCCGCTTTTTCCCTCATTTCGATCCCTATCCACCATCTACGGCCTAATGTACACACTCCTTTTCTTATGTTACACCTCAACTCATAAGTACCCTCCATACTCAGCCCTTTTTGCGGTGCTCGATCCCTCGGCCTCATTTAGTCGAACCACATCACCTCAAATAGTTTAAAGACATCGTCTACGTAGGAGGGTGCGGCCGCCGCCTCCCAGCTAACTATGGTGTCCCAAGATTTTGCCTCTACCTCTAGGCGGTCATACCTGCCTATTCTTAGGACGATGATGACTTCCTCGACTTTATATCCGTAGAAGGGCCCATATTTCAATGAGAGCCTATAAAACTCCTCAGTCAGCCAGGCACACTCTATATGCACCCTTCTTATGGAGTCGGCTACTTCCAAAATGTGTTCAAACCCTCCAAACCACTCGGCTATGAACTCCGGTACCCAAGCCGTTATCCGTAGACTTGGAGGCTTAAGTTCCTTCCATCCTCCCATCACAACTCTGCTACTAACTTCGTCCCATCCCTTGTTGGCGAACCACTCGCCTTCTTTTCGGGTTGGGGCCTCTGCATCCCCTAGAAGCCACATCGGGTCCTGTCCCATTGCTAACATAGTGCAAAACAGGTGTCATCCATCCTCGGAAAGGACAATCGTTCCGACTGACTCTACCTTGCCTTCTGCTATAGCATCCCAACCTTCCTCTTCCCTTATCGGGTTCCAAATCCGCTCTATCCATAAATACGACAAGTCCCGGACAACCTCAAACCCAATCCAGTCGCACGTGGTCCCCCTCCATCCGTTTCCTGTTGGTATAGGCATTTCTATTCCTCCTCTGAGTCGCCGTGGTTCCCAGCCTTTGAAGGTGTATTCCATCATCCTTTCTTCTCTCGTCATCTTTCCCTTCCCTGCACAATACCAGGCCACCCGTCCTTCCTAAGTTAAGATACCCCAACCCTCTTAGAAGTCCCAGTCCTCTATCTCTTCATCTTCATCTTCATCACTGAAGTCGTCCTCCTCGCCGTATATCAACTCCCTTACCCCATCTAGAAACGTCTCCCCTATTGCCACATTCCTGTAGACTATCCCCCAATGCACAGCGCTAGGGACAAAGATATTGTCTATGCTAAGGCAGTTTAGTATCTCGGTCAGCTCTTCCGCCCAGTTTCCCTCGAACGGCCCCATCTCTACAGATAACCGAAAAAAATATTGCCTAGCGCATTGGTATAGCTTGAGGTTCGTCATGGACTAGCATATCCGCACTAGCCTGCTTCGAGTTCCGAAAACCGCATCCACTGGGAAGGGAGGCAGCACACATCGCATGGTTCTTACGGGTCGCCTAATGCTACCTCTATCCCCAAGTTCCACCCGCACATCTACCCTTTCCATTTCCATTTTCCTTCGCTGACATGCAGCCCACACAACCTCTACTTCAGCCCTTCTAAACAACTCGTCCGGCGTATTCCCGAGTGCCAATCCTATGACCATGACATTCTCCTCATCCTGCGACAAGTAGACCCACCCCCGAGCTTCCCCCGGAACTCCAAATCCATCAACCTTGGCGACAACCTTGTCAAGCTAACATTAGCCCATACCGTCTCTATCCATAGGAATGCGTCCTTCCCTTCCAGCATCACGGTTTGATATGCTGGTTCAAGGTCCGTCCACGCCCCATCTTTCGGGAGGACGACCGACACCCCATCCTTTACGTCTACTGGCATCTCTGGACCGCTGGTATAAGTCGGGGGAGACAACCATCGCGCCGTCTTGTTTCCGGCACCCGGCCCCTGTTTTCATGAAAGAGTACCAACCGGTTCTTCTGGTTAGGTCAACCCCTTTTCCTAAATGAGGATTATTTCAGACCCCCCATTAAGGTATTCCTATTTTACCTACCCATTCCTAAGTACCTCTTTCTCATAATTTCCTCGACCGGCCATCCATTTGCCCACATTCTTTCTCTTAGTTCCATTCCAATTAACCTCTATCCTCCTTCCTTCTGATCATCTCTCACTCGTGTGGACTTAGATGGGGGGAGGGTAGACTTAGAAGAATGCCCGTCCAACAATCCAAGCTCAATCAATCTTTACGGGGGGGGACACATAAAAAAAATCAAGCAACCTCACATACGGGTCGGTCATCTCCTCATCGACCATCCCAATATGGTCTCTTCACTGATACTATCGGCAGAGTTTTACCCCATACCTCAAGCGCAGCTCAACCGTCGCGAGCGCGGTACCCAGGTCTCGGCAAGGCATTCGCCCTTTTCTCCTTACCCAGAATACCCCATCCCGACTTGCCACTCGTATACCCACCGTTAATCTCAGGAATCACCCCGCACATCTCGGTGAGGCCATTGGAGCCGGCCGTCCAGGCATTCACTTCCATCGGTCCGACAAGAATCAGCTTTTCCCAAGCCATGCTACGAGAAACTTTTAATCTCCTCCGAGGCTCCCTCCTTGCCCCATATGCAGTGGTCCCCCTGCCGTCTGCCGGCAAGCAGCCGCCCCGCCTGAAGATGTTTTACACCCCGCCTGGGCAAGGTCATCGAGCCATTGCTCGGACCGCTCAGGTGAGAATGCTACTAATCAGCCGACGAGACCAACCCTTGCCTTACAGCCCGGTGGCCCGACCCCCACACACGGAACCCGGTGAACTTCAAAGAGGACGACCATTCCGCATCCCGCACTGGCCGGTGCAAACCAATCCTTTCCTTCCGAAAGGCAGGACGCTCAATCCCATCATGCAAAAACAAGTCCCAAGTGGGACACACATAGTACAAGTGCCTTCCCCTTGGTGCACCTAGCGTTTCCTACCCATAGCTCACAAATTTTCTCTCAGGACAATGAGTGTCACTCCCTCTACTTTCATACATAGTGGTTGGTTCCTTCTCGTGAGAATCTTCAAGGGTGAGCTAGTTTTCCTCGGAGTCTAGCAACTCCCTTCATTTCCCTTCTCTTCATTTGTCTGTCTTTTCATAGGGCAGGATTGTTCTTTCTTGATAACCCGTTGTGTTCATGTTGGTTCCTTCAAGCATTTTTAAAAAAGGGTGCAAAGTGCATGAGCCCACTGGGCTCAAAGAAGAAGATAGAAGGACACCCGTTTGGTCGGATCACTCCGCCGCGGGATTTTCATTGGAACCTGGCCTAAGCCAAGCACCAACCGCCTGCCAGGTAACCGGAGCCCTTCTTTCATAAGAAGAGGAAGGGTCGACCTGCGACTTGCCCAAGGCTTCCCCGGACTGGCGAACACCAGCACCGGACGAAGGAGGGCTAGAACCATTCCACAAGGCAATGCCTGATCAAGTGCATAGCATGCATGTTATACCTCTAGGCCTGGCCATGCCATGCGCCCAACCACTCTCAAATCTGATTTCTCACAAGGGAAAGATCATACACAAGTCCATTTTTCTTATCTTGGGTTGTGTACACGTCAATGCGTCGGGCGCCCCCGTCAGAATCGCAAGGGTCAATTTAACCCCATACCCGACACCTCCACCATTTTTGTAGGGCCAAACCCCGGTAGACTTTCGAGCCTTAGTCGACCCCACTGCGGGTCCCAGTTGGCTCGGCCCGCCCACGCTCATGCTCAGGGCGCGGGCTGTTCGTCCCGAGGTCACCCCCACCTAGTGCTTTGAGATGGATGGGGGTGGACCATCGCGCGAGAGAGCTTTGACATTGGGGATGTAGCTCAGCCCTCACGCCGGGTGGTAGTCTCGTTGGTCGTTCCGCAACGCTGATTTTTTCGATTCTTTGTTGTGTTTTCAGGCAATTGCTCCTTCCAATACACAGACAGTCCAGGGATTCTTTGGGTGTTTCTCTTCTCTTGTGCGTAGATTAAGCATCATCCTTAGGCCACGCACCATTTCCCTAAGCATGATGACTATGTGGCGTCATCGGGGTGCGGCGGAGCCGTCCTCTCCCTTGCCTCTATGCATCCATTGGATCTCACAATTTGCTTTCTTCCTTATTGAAGTAGGCCCCTTAGTATTTTCGGGGTCCTCATATGCATGCACACACAACATCTCATTTCCTTGGTACGATTGCACTCTCATTTACACTCCAAGTCTTCAAGCGTAAAAGTCATTTTCATGGGTTGGTCCTATGTCAAGGGTCCCATAGCCCCTTTGTCCCTCTTCCCTTTCCCTCTTGGTGCCCAGTTCCTCTCGCCCCTATCCCGCTCAAGGCCTTTCTAGCCATCACTCACCTGCACAATCCCACACAAACAAGAAGATCCATTCAATCCCCCGTTGGGGGTCAACACATAGCCCTTCTCACATGCCTATCTTTCAAACTCTTTGGTTGCTCTTTGTTCCCTTTTGTTGCTCAATCAGCCCATCCTCTTCTCATAGTCATGCAGTCGGGGAAATGGTTCAGTCAAACTGACCTCACTTTCAACTTATGTTCTCTTCCGGATTCCGCCTTTCTCCCACTTTTTCAAACGTCCTTTCTCTTTTGCCTCCTTGGTGGCACAAGGGACCGGCTATCCTCCCCTTGCCCTCTTTCTCCACCAAGTGAAGTCTGATTTCGTTTACCGTCCGTACCCTGGCAATGTTTCCAAGTGAGGGGAAAAGGATTTGTCATATGCCGAGTGAGAGAACGAGAGAGAGGGAGAGAGAAGGCAAAGTAGAAAAAGGGGGGGCGAAAGAGGGGGTCTAGAGGAGGAAGGAGGGAAAGAGGGAGAGAAAGAAGGAGAGAGAGGGTGGAAGAGAGAGAGTGAGAGAGAGAGAGAGAGAGAGAGAGAGAGAGAGAGAGAGAGAGAGAGAGAGAGAGAGAGAGAGTGAGAGGAAAACA